CTCTTGTGAGCCCATTTGTGCCTGGCTGGTCCTCATTCCTCTCTCATGAGCTCATTTGTGCCTGGCTGGTCCCCATTCCTCTCTCCCCAGTGTTGAGTGTCTGAGCAATTCTGGCGTGAGGGTGTGATGACCATTTGAATATTAGCTCTTTATTATATAGGGTACATTTAAAGGGGTGATAGAAGCTTGTAGCAGATTTCAGGTAATTAAGCATAAGAATTATAACTTAAAAAAACACACAAAACCTCCAGTCTGTGATGTAGGCAATCAAACATTTCTTCTTAAGAGCACACTAGATTTTCATTCTGATTTTGTTTTGTGATTTGAGTACAACACAGCCACACTATGTATATTTTAAATATTGTTGTGTTTTAGAACCAATAATTTTTGGTATGGAAATCCCCTAAAAATATCCCTAATGGTGATTTTCTTGAAGAGGTAATACATTTTCTAGCATAATGTATAATATCCAAAGGAAAATAAATTTAATATAACTATTATATTTAGCTTAGATGCTTAGAATTGGAAACAGAATTAAAGATCATCTGCTGGACTTTTGCCATAAACATACAAAGATTTTCTAGTTAGTAGACCCATCTTAGGGGGAAAACCCTGTTACTCTATCCTCCTCTAGCTACTGTCTCATATCTGTTTCCCTTCTTTGTAAGAATTGTTCATAGGAACTGTTGCTACTTTCTCATCATCATTTTCCTCCTGTGTTTACTTCTATCTGACTTGTTTCTGTCCTCACCATTTCATATTAAGTATTTGTGTAGAGTTTACTAATCATCACTTTGCCATCTATTCGTTATTTTCTGTCCCCAAATTTCTTGATCTCTCAGCAACATTTGATAGAGTAGGCCATTCCATCCTTTTTAAAAAAATATATTTTATTGATTTTTTACAGAGAGGAAGGGAGAGGGATAGCGAGTTAGAAACATCAATGAGAGAGAAACATCAATCAGCTGCCTCCTGCACACTCCCTACCGGGGATGTGCCCACAACCAACGTACATGCCCTTGACCGGAATCGAACCTGGGACCCTTGAGTCCGCAGGTCGACGCTCTATCCACTGAGCCAAACCAGTTAGGGCCATTCCATCCTTCTTGAAATGTCATCTTTTCTTGGCTTCTGTGATAATTCTGGTTTTCCTCCTTTTTCTCTGTTTCCTAAATTCACCTTTGCTAGATCATCTCCCTCCCAACTTCTAAGGAGTTCCTGAGAACTATGTCCTAGTTGCTAATCTTTTGTATGTGCATTCTCTCACTAGTGATGTTTTCTATTGTATAGCATTAATACTATCAATCGTCACATAGTTGATCATATTTCCTCTAAGCCTGGACTTCTCCACCAAATTGGAAAGCTGTATATTCAACTACCTCTTTGATATCTCCATTTTGATGTCTTATACCTCAGACTTAACATGGCTGAAAAAGAAATCGGGATTTAACCTCCTCTCACCTGTCCTCCAAATGCATTTTTCCCCAGGCTTCCAAGGGCACTGCCTTTTTATCTAATGCCCAAGTCAGTGTCATTGAGTCTTCTTCACAACTGCTAATTTGGAGAGGCTATATTGTATTGATTTGATATCTTGGGTTTTACCTGGGCTGTGAGACTATGAGCAGTTCCCTAACCTCTGTACCTTAGTTTCTTATAATCTCTCCTGATCTTGTAAAATTGTAAAGATTAAATAAATGACTACATGTAAAGTATGTAGAGCAGTTTCTAGAACAAAGCATGCACTCTGTGAATGTTAGCTTTTTAAAATATTGTTCTTTCCCTAACCTCTCTCATCCAGTTGATCTCCAGGCCTTGTAGACTTTTCTCTGAAATTCTATTCCAAATCTGGCCATTTTCTTCATTTCCATACTACAGCCCCAACTACCGTCATCCTCACTTTAGACAACTGCAGGAGCCTCCTAACTAGTTTTTCTGCTTCTCCTTTCACCTCCCTAAAATCTAGTCTCCATATGTACCCAAAGTGGTTTTTTAAAAATGTAAATGATATCTTTTGACTCCCTGCTTAAAACAGAACACGAAATGGTCTTCCGAACTCCTTACTGTGGTCTGATGAGGAAGTACTGCCCACTGTTGTTCCACACGTGCTGAGCTGTCTTTGAGTGCCATACCCATTCCTGCTTCAGAGTCTTTGCACTTGATCACTTTTTGCTTGAATAATTCTGATCTGGGTTGTTTCATGGCTGTTTATTTCTTGTCATTTGTGGCTTAATTTGAAATCATATCCTCAGCCTTTTCTTGATTAGCAGTTAAAGTTCCTCCCCACCCCCCAAATCTGCACTGACATTGTGTCTTGTTTTATTTTCTTCAAAATACGTACTGCCTTATCTTGTTATCTTGTTTATGTCTTTACTTGCTTATTGGGTGTATACTACTACTAGAATGTAAATTCTATCAGAGCAACTGAAGTACCGAAGTACCAAGAATGGTGCCTGGCTGCTAGCGTATTCTCTATATATAGTGGGTGGGAGAATGAATAAACATACAGCTGCTCCAGAAAATCTTTCTCAAAATCATCTTTAATGTGGTCATGAATCTTTAATATTTTAATGAGCAGCATTCAATCTTATAAGGTGGTTTAATTTCTTATAATAATGAGTAGTGTGCCACGCCAGCACAGCTAAGGGGAGGCGGTGAAGGATTAAAGAAAAGACAGACAAGAGAATACAGCTGGGGCTTGGCAATCTCCAGTGCCTGGATGAAGACACAGAAAGACCCAGCCTGCAAGCTGAGGCTTTATTTTATAGTCAGAGAAAAACAAGGTAGTGGTCAACATAGTTATAGTGTTCTTGTGAGTTTCACCTTGTTTTGACAGCACTTGCTGCACCTCCCACGCCCATTAGCTACCTAGGAAGGAACTAGGGAGGACTATAAGGTTTAGCATAATAAGCTAAGAGGGCTCTGACCTCCAAGCTGGGACTTGTTTGTGACTCTGCCACAGGTCAGTCTGAGGCTTAACCCTATAGCCACTCCCTACAGAGTAGTATATAAGAGCTAGAAGAATTTTATTTATTTTTATTGAAACAAAATATTTTTCTATAACTTCCTCCAGTTGCCCATCAGTCCTCCCACTGAAACTGTACAGAGTAAATCTAATTGCTCTTTCATGATATTACTGAAAAATATCTGGGGCTAAGGATCATAATAATTTAAGGCTTTTTTGAATGTGCCTAGACTCTCCAGCTGTGATGTCTTCCAAAACCTTATCATTCTTGATCACCTTCCTTTGAGCTTGCTTCTGTTTGTCATTGTCCTTTATAAAATAGGCCTCACAGAGCTATATTATAAGGACTTCTTTTTTTAAAACATTTTCAATTATAGTTAGTATTCAGTATCCTATCTAATAATAGAGAAACATGGTAATTAGCCGTACCTCCGCTACCCTTCCAATTGGCTAATCAGGGCGATATGCAAATTAACTGCCAACCAAGATGGCGGCCGGC